TGACAGATAAATAATATGAGAAAAAATTAAATATATGAGAAGGAAAAGAGTAAATATACTGATGAATTGCTGAGCTACAAGGAGAAATTACTTCAAATGCAGCTTATTCTTGACATTAACATTAAAAATAAGCATGAGATTAGGGTGTAAGTCAATGAGAAGGTTTAAGTTTTCTACATTAAGGAAAATAGGAAGAGTATTTTTTTAAAGTGTCATAGGCTTTAAGATAACATTTTTAAGAAAATTACTGACTACACAAGGAGGGACTAAAGAGAAAAATAGAAAAGAATATTTAAAAAAATTTTTTTAATGTTTATTATTTATTTTTGAGAGACCGTGAGACAGACTGAGAGCAGGGGAAGGGCAGAGAGAGAGAGGGAGGCACAGAATTTGAAGCAGGCTCCAGGCTCCGAGCTGTCAGCACAGGGCCCGAAGCAGGGCTCAAACTCACGAACTGTGAGATCATGACCTGAGCCAAAGTCGGATGCGTAACCAACTGAGCCACCCAGGCGCCCTGAAAAGAACATTTTAATTTGAATATTTTATAAGATAGTAAAGGGATGGATTATAACTAACCTCATTCATCTCTCCCTTTTAAAAAGTCAAATATCAATTGCTAAAGAAAATCAAATCAAACTTTGGATTCTGAAAAGACCGTTGAAGAGATCTGAATAACATACAGCTTTCTCTACCAGTAGATTGTGAGCTTCTGGGGAGTAGGGAGGAGTTCTCATCTGTACCTCTACAACGAATAAGGACTGGGACTACCAGAGAAGAAACTGCTAATTACAAGAACAAACAATAGTTTTCATACACTGAAATTTAACATTCTTTACTTATGGTATGTGTGGGGGGACCTGATATACGGACGTTTGAAGTATACAGTATTTGAGAACCAGGTTTTTACAAACCTCTATTTAACAGACATTTCCCCAGCTACAAATAGTTTATTTCTCCACACTTACCTTCTTTGAATGGACAAGGAGGGCTTGAATGATGTTGTTGCCATACTAAACTGGCTCTTCTTGGCTTTCACAAGAAAATAATCTATTTAAATATCTCTGGCAATTACGCTTTGCTATTTCCTCCTGCCTCCGATCTTCTCTTCGAAACATCTTTTCTTCATGAAAGGATTCCTCACAGGATCATTGTATTAATCTTATAAATACTTCTGTAAGCATTTTAAATGGGGTATTGTAGATTATCCACTTGAAATGCAGTAATATTGCCAAAGTCTAGAGCTCCAACCTGTATCACAAAGAGTTAGCCTCTTGATGAAGAGACTTTATGACTTCCTTGGATATTTGGCTAGTTTGGGAAAGGGAGAGGAAAGAGGTTGCTTTTTCGCTTGTTCCAGGACGAGGGTATCCAGTGGGAAGGAGCTTCTTTCTAGTTTTCCTAGTCCCTGGGTTACTTAGAGGCTTTGCATCATCAGAGGCTGTGCATCATCCTCAGAGGCTGTGCATCATCCCCGGTGCTGCTGCTCAAACACAGTATCCTCCACACTGTAAATCTTCAGTAAACGTGGGACGGAAATGAAGTTCACCAGGACAGAAGAGATATGTTACTTTATACAGAAATTTGGATCTCTGGAACTTGTGGCTAGAGCATGAGAGGGAGGAATCAAGGGCCACAGGCAGATGCCAGAATCATAAAAAGAATGACAGCCAGATGTTATGTGTCCCCTGATGGAAGAATAATACCACTTAGCAAGTATCGATTCACCAAAAAAAGAACTTGTAAGATAAGCCTCGAGATCAGGGTTTCACAACTCTGGCACTTACTGACATTTTGTAGCAGGTAACACTGCTGTGCGGAGCTGTCCTATAAACCACAAGGTGGTTAGCTGCATCCGTAGCCTCCGTCCACTAGATGCCAATAGCACCTCTCTACTTGTGACAACCAAAAACGTTTTCCGGCATTACCGAATGTCTCCCGGGTGGCAAAATCACCCTTGGTCTAGAGCTTTTTGTTGCTGAATCTAACTACCAGTTTATGGAAATAAGAGGTTAACCTGTTATACAGAGATCACATCAACAAAAGTCACAATGTAGAACACAGGACAAACAACCTAGTTTCATCTATAAACAAACTGCAAAGTAAAAAATTTGGGGCGGGGGCCAGGGGCGGACCCCAAAGATTAAGAGACTTAAGAAAATGTCAATCAAATGCAATGTATAGATCATGTCTGGAGCCTCAACAAACTCATGTTAGAAAGCACTTGAGACCAAATGGGGGACTTTCAACAGCATCTTGATATTTAATGTTTCAGAAATAATTCAGGAGAATATCTTTCAGATGTATATACTAAAATACTTATAAATTTTGCTTCAAAGTAATCTGTGCAGGTTGGGGTATGAGTGTGTGTGTTGGGCGGGGGGTGCAATGATAGATAAAATGGGATAGGCCATACCTTAATGACAAAAGAAAATAATGAGGTTATGATATGGTCTACTTTTTGCATGTATTTGACATTTTTCATCATTAAAAAAAGGAAGCATAGTAGTGATAATAACAGAACATAATGAAAAGCACCCAGAAAAGCTGGGTAATGTTCAGTAAGAATCACACTACCATTTGAATGGACGGGTTCAAAAGAAACTGAATTCCCAAGATCTGTAGGTACAGACTGAACTATTCAAAGTTTCCTAATGAAAGTAAAATATGCAGTATAAGCTGACCCAGTCTCTATTTAAAAATTTTTTTTTTCAACGTTTATTTATTTTTGGGACAGAGAGAGACACAGCATGAACGGGGGAGGGGCAGAGAGAGAGGGAGACACAGAATCGGAAACAGGCTCCAGGCTCTGAGCCATCAGCCCAGAGCCCGACGCGGGGCTCGAACTCACGGACCGCGAGATCGTGACCTGGCTGAAGTCGGACGCTTAACCGACTGCGCCACCCAGGCGCCCCCCCAGTCTCTATTTAAAGAGTGCTACTAGCTGCCTTTCACTGATAGTACCTGACTATCATACTCATCACCTGAACTGCAAATGTTTTAGAAATGTTACATTTTAGAAGCACTGTAAAGAAAAAGCCTGTATTTAGCACCTTCTCCGAAAGCCTTATAAACTATCATTTTAATTTGATAATAAGCAGATGAAGTGGATGGAACAAAGAGGATCATTTTAGGGCTCATTTTGTAGGGCCTTAACTAGAGGGCCAGGATCAAGGGCACACCACACCAAATGCTTTCTAATTTCAACCACTGGACTTAAGAAAAAAAAAAAAGAAAGAAAGAAAAAAGGAATACAAGTTAGCTGAAGTACTCATTTTTATAAAAATGTGTTTTATTTTAAAACAAGTCTATAAAAGTAGAAATCACATACAAAAATACAGATTACTCTGACATGTTAGCAAAATAGCTTATGGCTGGACTTGAGTCTGGAAGTACTGTGTGTCTGAGGGCATCTGGAAATCACAGCCCATCTGGATCCTATCATCAGCCCTTGTCACTAATCTGTAAACAATAATTTCATGTAGTAAATTTAGCACTTTTTTAACCAGTACAAAATCAAAACATAATCATTTCTTGTATAACACCACTGTAAAATGTTCGTCCTTAGGTCTGAGCAGGTAAGGGCACTTCGCATTGTCGTTTCTAACATTCGAAAAACCTGATTTGAAAACAACGTTAATAGAAATGACGGGTTTTGGCTTTTTTTGTTCCATTTTGAACATCAGGGAAGGTCATCAGTGTAAATAGGAAGTTAGTGTTTTGTGTCGTTTTTTTTTTTGTTTTTTTGTTTTTAAGTAGAACTTAATCATTTTTCTTCTAGACACCATTAAAAAAAAAAAAAAATCACTGTTCCTATCAAAAGTTTCCACACCTGAGTTTTAACTTTTATATAGGTTCAAGCTGTCTTACTGCTTTGAAACTGCACGGAACACATACCTACTTCTGGCGTGTCTTTATGAGTGAACGAGCATGCAGTTCTTCTCACAGGACTCTAGGTCCAGTAACTTTATAAAACAATGGCTTTCAAACAATTATTGTGGGAGACAATTTTTTTTTAAAGGCAATTTAAAATACTTGATTCCAGAGTAATATAAAAATAACTTTAAGAGCCTTGGCAATAAAGGAAAATGGCAGGCAACTTCAGTTTGGCATTCTGTCCAAAATTTCGAGAACAAAGACTGGTTACCCACCACCTTTCTAAAACAAAGTGAGCCATTTTAAAAGCTAAAGAACCCACTTAACATGATTTGATCGCAAAGTTAGAAGACCACAGTTCTGTTTCCTCAGCTAATACAGAATTCTGGGAACAAAGTCCATGAAGGAAACTTCAGTAACGTGCATTAGAGGGTACTTCAGATTACCTCGTCATAGAAAGTTGCCTCTTGAGCCTTCAAAGTCCATACCAATTCTTTACCTCTGGTTGGTTAGCTGTTTTTTAAAATTTAGGTTTCAAGGTGAATTGCCCAGGGCTATTTGTTTCCATGAACCTAGCTTCAAACCTAAAGGCAAAGTTGAAATGCGTATTTTTCTATCTCCAGAAGAGATTACCACAAATGCTACTATCCATCCTATGATTCTTTTGTTCCACTCACAATACAAATAGCTTATTCTTCTACCAATCTATGTCTCATAAAGCAATACTGAAAAGTTAAATAGAAGAAAGTTACCATATAGACTGTGAAAATGATTTGCTGGTGGTGACTCTTATACTTGATTCTAAATAGATTGAATAAGAAGGGCACTTGGAAGAGGTGGCTCAAATCTTGCTGTTTAAGGTCTCTTGAAATTACCGGTTCTCCTAAAATTTCAAAAGGCCTAAAACTTAGGCTTTTAAAGGCACAGAAGCAGTGACGGAAGCTTTTATAGTTACTTAGAAAAAGCAAAACTTCATAGTTTTCTCTCAATGGTTGTCTAATATACTTGCAGAATGAAGGCAAAGGGAAAACCAAGAATAACAATAGCTGAGTGCTGCAGCCAGCGGGCTTCCTGCCTATTTTCCCTGTTCCAAAGAAAGGAGGAGACACCATCCTGCAAAAAATACTTCATAGACAACTGGGCTTTTGCAGTGTCAGCCGGCATTTGATGCCCCATATCTCCTGGTTCTTTTTGTTGCCAGTGGTCGGCCTGGCAATGGTGGTGAAATGGGAAGTATTAATCTGTAGATGAGGAAGGGCTTCTTTTAACAGTTGAAGGGTACCGTCTGGCACGATTCCAAAAACTTGTAGTGTTTTTAGTGTGGGAATTTCTCCAAGTTCACTGGAAAGGAAGAGAAACCTTTCAGAGTAGCAGTATCTATGGTAACAGATCCACTAGGGTTACATGACCCAATTTTTACAATTTGTATCATATTCTATAAAGCACAAACTGAAAACATAATTCGCAATCAAGGATTTGAGAAAACAGCAAAGGTGAATCAAACCAGAAAGCACAGACTGAGGCTCAAGACAACACAGCCTTAGGACACACGCAGCGCATTTTGTTAAATTTCTCCCAACCTAAAAACTCTGAGGTTTCTTTAAAACCCAACCATATTTGCTTCCTCTCTCCATTCTCGATTTAAAACAAAAGGCGTTACTGTGCTGTGAGAAGCTAGAAGGTAGTGATGGTAAAGAATCACCACAAGTTACATGTAATTTCAAAATATGGACTTGACCTTTAGTTGAACTAGACTCTTCCTCTCAAAAGATCAGCAGCAGAAGTTAAGGTAACTTCTTAATAAGTCCATCACCTGTGATAAAACCTAACAGTGACTTCACTAAGATCTTTTAGACGGGGTTATATAGTTGGGTGCAGACAGAAAAAAAGAAATAATCAATCACACCTTTTCTACGAGAGGCAAGAGCCATCTGACTTCTCCACACATTACCATTTTTGCTGTTGTTTTGGTTTGGTTTTGGTCACATATAGGCCAATCCTCTTCTCAGGTATTTCCCATTAAGTGAAATTCAACTCTGTCAACAGTGAAATTCTGGTCCACAAAAAAGGGAGCCTATTTCTCCAAAGTAAATACTTTAGGTAATGATTCTTTCTTCTTAACCCAGATCTATGTGCTTAGAAATTCATCTCTCTGATCTGTATTTGCTCCAGGTTGGGACACACAGTACAAAGTCTTAGGAAAGGGAATATTTAGTTTGGAATATCAACAAAATCCCACTGCAGATCAATGAACACATCAGTGGCCTAGAGTTAGAAGCATCCTTTATATTTTCATTTTGCTGGTAACTACTAAAAAACCAAACTTTCCTCACAGTAATTGTCACCTTGCCTCCAATCTTTCTTCCTTCCAGCCTATTCTATATACCAGTGCCCAAGGCATCTTCCTAGAGCCTAGCTCAGATTATGTCACCCCTCCCACTCACCTGCTCCACAGCCTTTGATGCTGCCCTCTTGTTTACGGAACTCAAACTGTTCAGCTGGCCTTAGGACTTTTCCACGTTCAACCTGTTCTCCCAGTCACCCCACTACCCTCTAAATGTATTTATTCTACATTCAACAAAGCGTAGTAAACACCATAGACATTCAATACATGTTAGCTGAATAAAGACGAAGGGCACTTTAGAAAATATGAGTACTATCTAAATAAAATAAATATGCTTGGTGTTCATAAAAGGCCAATAAGATCTGGAGGTTACAACAGACACCATGGAAAATCAGGAAGAACAAACTGCTGTTCTTGAAGTAAACTAACCTCTGGGACCATAGAGACAGAAGTGCAAAGAAAGATCAGAATTCATAGATGTTTATACTCGTCATTGCTTAAGATGACAGCAATTCTGCCCCAACCTTAAGTCCCTCTTACGTGAAATCTGAGTATTTGAGAACTTTGTGATGAAAATTCAGGTGCTGCGATATCCAAATTAGACAAACTGTAAGTCATTCTATAGTGGACGGTGTCAGGAGCAGAACCTAGAGGTGGGAGCAAGGAAAGGAGGTACAGCGGATGGCAGAAGAGGAAATGTTCTTGCAACAGCGCTGGGAAGGACGCTCGGCGAGGAAGGACATGACAGCAGATTCTCAGAAGACACTCAGGTGTCCCAGCTGAAAAAGGAGGGAGCTGCCTTTGATGGGATGGTGGACAACGGACCAACCCAAGTCAAAAAACCAGAAAGTCTTTACACTTTTAACGAGACTACAAAAAAAAAAAACACTGAAAGCCCCTTCGTACATGTATCATCTACAACACAGCAGAACAAATTTCTAAGCATCTTTCTAGACTGAAAAGCAACTGAAGGCTGGTGAATAGGAATAAATCTCTGAAGAGCAATGACTTCTAATTTAGGAAGCATAAACGGACACTGGTAATGTCTTTAGTATCTTTGCTGAATCTCAGGAAACAGAAGATATTTACAGACCCCCTCACACGTTCATACCTCACCTCCACTACACGATCCTGTTTTCCTTATAAAATTTAGTAAATGCCTAACTAGGAATTCTCCCTACAACAGACTTTTTATTTAGTCTCTCCTAATGCCAGATCAGTTTGCTACCTCCAGCTTGGCTTTCTTACTAGAATGAGAAATACAGAACAATCAGAAGAGAGTTCAGACACATGGGATAAGATCGATAAAGGCATAAGAAAATAGACACAATGCGGACATATCCTGGGGAAGAAAAATCTGATTACCCAAGTATTCTAAAGCACTATCATTACAGAAGAAAGTCATTCAAATTTTATTTTCCCACTTTTGAGATAAGAAATAAAAGTTCTTTAGCATAAACGGCTTTCTCAAAATTACTACTGAGGATCCTAGAATTCTTACTATGAATTTCAAATACATCAGCTGCCAGAATGGAACTAGAGAGAATAACATTATATCTTGAAAAACTCCTAAGGATAGGGTACAAGCAAACTAATCTTAATGGGTTCAGAAGGTAAATCAATGTACGTATTATTTACATAATGCCTGAAGAAACATCCTCTTTTACCTTAAAGTTCAATCACAGCATCTTTTCTCTCTGTGTTACTCTTTTGGTGGTCTGATTTGTAAATTAAACTCCTGATGCCCCTATTTCTCTCATTTCAAGGTAAGATTTAGACAAGTCACAAGAAGGCAGTGAAGGTTCAAACCTAAGTCTGTTGTGACCTGAGGTCTGTACGCTTAAGCATCAAGTCATACTGCCTGCAGGTATTACACCATGGAAGTGTTACTATCCTACTGGATAAAAATACTAAACTGTGAGAGCTCACAGCCTTCCCTTAGCCTCTGCTCAAGAAAAAAAAAAAACAAAAAAAAAACAACATCTGGGGATTACCTGCTTAGCTTCTTTTTCTGGAGAGAAAGAACGAAAGTGAGACATCTGGATAGATTCTCTTGAGAAAAGCAACCAAAACACACTGATCCCCAGGGGGCTGCACAGGCAATGAGGCTGAAGCCCAGAGGGCAAGGACAGGAAAGACGGAAGACAGAAATGCCTTTCTAGGTAGATGCTAGAGGCTCCTAGGAGTTTGGGATACTAGAAAGGGCAGGAGATTTAAGTAACAGTTCCATGGATATGAATTTACACTCTACCTCTCAGAGCCACGGATGTAAATCCTAGCATCCCTGTTAGGCAGTGCTTTTTCAAATGAGATACCAGCAGAGACCCTGAGCCCCAAGATTAATTAAAGCGATTAATTAAAAATAGAACAACTGGACTCTCTAATTCTACTAGTTAACCTGAATTTACCTTCAGATACCTGAAGTATCTGATTTATTCTTAAAACCAACTTAGAAGATTCAAACCAATCATTCAAAGACTACATAAATTCTTTGTTCAAATTCACCTTTCTTTGGTAGGCGCCAGAGGCTAAATTACCTTCATCTGGATAGTGAGCTACATACAGGAGGTCAGCAGCCTCTTTCAGGGCATACTGGCTGGAATAAGAAAGAAGGGCACCTGACCAAATTCAAGATACTGACTTCTTGTGGTTTTCAATGAAATTGCTATGCATTTACATTCTACATGAGGAAGGATCTTCCAGCCCTTTGGGGATAAAAGAAAGGAATTTTTAAAAAACAAACAAATAGGGGCGCCTGGGTGGCGCAGTCGGTTAAGCGTCCGACTTCAGCCAGGTCACGATCTCGCGGTCCGTGAGTTCGAGCCCCGCATCAGGCTCTGGGCTGATGGCTCAGAGCCTGGAGCCTGTTTCCGATTCTGTGTCTCCCTCTCTCTCTGCCCCTCCCCCGTTCATGCTCTGTCTCTCTCTGTCCCAAAAATAAATAAAAACGTTGAAAAAAAAAAATTAAAAAAAAACAAAAACAAACAAATAAATAATATTATTCCTGGGATGACTTGAGCATAGCACTTTCCAAAAGAAAGATCAGACTTCTTTTTCCTTTGTGCAAATTTTTGTGGAAGTTGCTGAGCAGGTACAAAATTAACCCTCCTAAGAGCTACTGGATTAGATATAGACTATTTTCATCCGTTCAGAAAACCTAGGACCTAGACCCAGCTCAGTCATTAACTTACTTTACAGCTTTGGGTTAAGACATTTTTCTCTTCTGGACTTCAATCTCTCCCTATTCCAAGACAGCATTAGACTCTTCTGATATTTACCATTTACATTCTGCCATTCTTCCCATTCCCTGACTACCGTCCAGAACAGCCATCACTAGAAGATTACACAACTTTCCTCCAAGGCCAGAGGGAGCCTCTCACAGTCAACTGGGGTTGACTTGAAAAATATGGGGTGGGGGGGAAGCCTCCACTGATCTGCCTCCCAGTTATTACTGTGAGCTCCCCAGAGGTAAAAACTGTCTTCTCCTTTTGTAAATCTTCCAGATACTAGTACAGTATTGTAATATCTAAACCTGCTTCTAGGTAAATAATAAATGTTTAGCAAACTATCTCAATCAACTCAACTTTTCTAGATATTTTAAACAAAAAATTTTGCCTTGGGTTTTCTATTTTGCTGGTCTTCCCTAACCTATTTGTGGCCCACTAATATTGATGCCAAGCTTTAAACATCTGCTACTTACAATAACATATTAATCCCAAGTGGCATCTCCTTTGCTCCCTGTCTTCTAGTTTTAGACAATGAAAATACTTACAGTAAAGTTTCAGGTATGATATCATAGCATCGACTGAGTGACAGATGTTGGAGGTAGTTGAGCTGGTAAAATTCTGGAAAGCAGTCATTCTTCAGCATGACACTATCACTGTAACAGAGCAGAAGAAAAAATTCCCAACCTATCCATCAATTCAGATGGAGAAGACAGAATTAGCTGACCGTTTGGTTCCTTCAACATGTTAAGATGCTTTCCTCCTTCAATGATCAGTCATGACTTTTCAATTTTTGTTTGAAAAGAAATAAACAAAAAAAATACCTTAAGTCTAGGTGGACAAGATTGGGGCATCTTCCAACTAAGGTAGAGACATCTAGGGGAAAAAATGATGGGCACGATTAAATGAGGAACACCACAAGGGTATCTGCTATTAACACTATCTTTAACATTGTGCTAATAAAACTTTGAGACAATGCAATTAGTCACTCTATTAGACACAAAACACAAAGTCATCATCTTGGCATGTAAGATTTTTGAACCCAGAAAACCCAAGAGAATCAACTGAAAATAGTAGGAGAACTATGTAACACAACAGGTTAACAACAATCCATAGCTTATCTATGTATGTGCAAAAACTGGCTGGGGAAGAAAAGAAAACAAACAAAAATCCCATTCATAATAGCAAAAAGCAAAAACAAACACCACCATATATAAACAAACAACATATTATAAAGGTAGCACTTAAAATCAATAGGGGAAATCATGGATTATTTTTAAAAAATGATATTGCTACCACAGGCAGAAAAAGACTTATTTCTCCAACTCAAATAATATTTCCAAATAAATTCCGTACATATTAACAAGTCCTAAATGCAAAAATATGAGTATTTTCTTTCACTGGATCTTGGGATAGGTAAGGCTTTTCTAAACACAAAAGAACACACAAAGGAAACACTGACAATTTGCTACATAAAAATTTTAACTCTACCATGTTAAAGCAACACAAAACACAAACAGAATTAAAGAAGTGTCAGAAAACTGCAAATGTTTTCAACATACATGCAATAGATAGTTAATGGTCTTATATAAAGAGAAGAGAAAGCTAAATATAGAAAATGGGTGAAGAATATGAAGAGATACTTGGCAAAACAGGTATAAATGGAATAAGAAAAGCAAAATAAAATTGAAATATTGCTTTTTAGCCATCAAATGAAAAAAAAAATTCTATCATAATACCCAGAATTGATGAAATACAATTAAGCAGATCTCACACATACTGCAAGTGGATATTTAATTTCCTGCAGCCATTCAGGGGAGCAAATGGATTTTTTTTAGGATAAGCAGATTCTTTGTGTGTGTGTGTGTGTGTGTGTGTGTTCTGAGCATTATACACTCGGCACTTTGGCTTAGTAATTCCAATTTTAGAAAAACAATTAGGTGTGCACGAAGACATTCATTTTAGCATAGCTATACTAACCCTTCCCCCAATTATTTTAATCCATTAACCTCCCTCCATTCTGTGGAACACAATGCCAATGACGGTTATTCAAAAGCTTTTATTTATTTTTTTAATGTTTATTTATTTTTGAGAGAAAGAGGGGGAGAGAGAGCAGGGGAGGGGCAGAGAGAGTACGAGACAGAGGATCTGAAGCAGGCTCTGTGCTGAAAGCAAAGAGCCAGATGCGGAGCTCGAACTCATGAACTGTGAGATCATGACCAGAGCCGAAGTTGGGCACTTAACGGACTGAGCCCCCCAGGTGCCCCTTCAAAAGCTTTTAAATAACACTTAATGACATGAAAAAATACTAAAGATATACTGTATAGTGAAAATAAAACCAGTGGGTGTAGCAGGGGAAGGCCAGAAGGAAATATACACAAGGTTGGCGGAATCACAGGCACCTTTGCAGAATTTGGAAGAAAGTCACATGTGCTACTTTGCAATCAGAAAATGAATCAGTAGATGTTATTTATTTTTAAAACCAGCTTCATTTCCTGTGGGAAGGAAAACATGGGGCTGCCGTCAGCCCCAGTCCCTCCCCTGCAACCTAAACCTAGACTTGCATTTAATTTTTTTTTTTTAACGTTTATTTATTTTTGAGACAGAGAGAGACAGAGCATGAACGGGGGAGGGGCAGAGAGACGGGGAGACACAGAATCGGAAGTAGGCTCCAGGCTCTGAGCCATCAGCCCAGAGCCCGACGTGGGGCTCGAACTCACAGACCGCGAGATCGTGACCTGAGCTGAAGTCGGACGCTTAACTGACTGAGCAACCCAGGCGTCCCTAGACTTGCATTTTAAGCCGTCTCCTCAACACACCCACTGTGATAGGTGACAGGCATCTCAAAGTCATGCCTAAAAGCAAAACTTCATTTCTTCTCTAAATCTGCCCCTTCCCTAAGTCTTTTCCATCTCTGAGAAGGTACTCAAGCCACCCATCCAGCTGCTTAGGCCGGAACCCCAAGTCACACTCAACTGTTTTCTCACATCCCACATCCAGTCTGTTACCGAAGCCTGTTCTGTTGGCTTTTTACCATCTGATCATTTCTTACCACCTCCAAAGTCACCACCCGAGGCTCTTACAGCCTTTTCTCAACATGGCACTGGAAGAAGACTTTTAAAGGTGAGTCAGATCATATCACATCATTCCCTGCTCAAAATGCTACAACGGCTTCCCATCTCACTCAGGAAAATTCCGAACAAAGCTTCTGCCTCGGCTTAGAGAACCCTGGGCTACCTTACCTCCTATCACTGTCCTCCTTGCTCCCTCTCACACACTGCCTCCCATATAAGGCCTTTGCACTTGCTGGTCCTCAGTTCTAGAATGTTCTTTCCTCACTTATCTATACAGCTCATGCCTTTCACTCAGGCCTTTGTTCAAGCATCACTTCCTCCAAGAGGCCCTCTTTGGCCATTCCATTTGAAAATAAGCCCCTGTGGCCTGTGCTCTGCCTGGTCACTCTGCTCCATTCTTTCTCCCTCCATCTCATCTCCTTTCATCACATTTAGTCATCTGTTGGTTGCCTGCCTCCCCCACCAGAACATAAGCTGTACAGGGGTGACTTCATCAGTTTGGTTCAAGGCCACAGCTCCCAAGTCTGGAACAGGGCTTTGTGCATCGTAGGTGCTCAATAAACATTTGTTTAATGAGTGACTAAAAAACGAAGAAGCGCACAGTACAATTTTGAGTGACCCACCACCTAGCCAGCCAACCAGCCATCAACAAAACTCAAAATCAGATACCATGTTATTTTGATGCCACCCAGGAAAGAACAAAACCTTGGGGGGGGTAAAACTGGTTGGTCTCCAGCCCTCACTTAAGCCCTGGCCATCCCTCAGCAGAAAGGGTTAGTAAATAGTAGTCACTGCTTACGAGTATAGATTCCCTCTACACACGATCCCCTTCATTTCACCACTAAGCGGAGCTCTGCCTGAGCCAGAAGGCATCTTACAAATCCCCAGATCTAACCCATCATTTTAGGGGAGAGCGATTTCATCTAGAGAAGTCAAGGGCACATCCAAGACCAAGAGCTGGGTCCTCCAAGACCTCGGTCAGCCCCTACTGCCCCATGGGGAGGTCGGTGGGGGTGTAACAGCCAACAATTATTGTACTCTCACTAGCGTTAACATGCTATGTGAGATTAAACCATTTATTCTTAACTGCAACTCTAAGACACAGGCTTCACTACCACTCCCTCCATTTTACTCATGAGGAAACTGAGGAACAGGAAAGTTTAGCAACTTGCTCACGACCACAAAGTAAATGGCAGAGCAGGAAGTTGAACCCGGGCAGACTGGCACCAGTCTGGGAGCTAAAATAACATTTATATTATCTTCTAAATAGTGAAGCAGTGTGTGCCATTGTTAAAGATATTTTAAAAAATCTGATTCCCACTATATAATTAAGAAAACACATACTTCAACTTAAACTCTAGGTCTTTGTCCTTGCCCTGAATGTGTCTAGCAAGCACGATTTTATTACCCATTATTCTTGCCAAACCTTGGTAAACAGGCTCTCTATTCTTTTCTGGAGGAACAAGAGAAGTGTTTTAAGCCAAACTTGGGACAAATTAACAGCAGCTTGCCTATAGCAGAGTCCCTCAACCTTGCAGCTAGAACCTCGTTCATTCAGAAAGACTCTCAATAAAGAAACAGCAAATTCAGATATGAGGCACTGCCTTTTCTTGTCTTAGGGATGAGCAGAGAACTAGTGGTGAGATTCAATGTGAAGAGGCTGCTCACTGGTGGGAGTTTAAAATCCTTGGGAGGCAATTTGGCAAGAACTACCCAGAACTGAAGAACAGAGCCTAATCCTTGACTCAGCAATTCCACTTTTAAGATCCCACCCTTAGAAATGCACTCAAAGGTCTGTTTATGTTCATGACAAGGTTGTTTATAAAAGGAAAAAACTGGAAAGACTCTAAAAGTCCATTACAAGGAGATCAAGTGAAGGAATTATTATTCAATCAATATAAATCATTCTTTATCTATTTGATGGAATATCACACAGCCACTGACAATGATGTAGGAGAGCTACTAAAAATGGGATTATCTGGAGGGAATAAAAGGGTTTTCTAAAGTATTTCATGCACTATGTCCCAATTTAAAAAACACTTTTATGCAGGAAAAAAAGCAGCAAGATGTTAGTGAGATTGCTGATGATTTGTTTTTCTTGCTGTTTTTCCATATTTTCTGTATTTTTGAGAAGGTATAATACTGTAATCAGATTTAAAACAGTATTTAAAGGAGAAAAATGGGGGCGCCTGGGTGGCGCAGTCGGTTAAGCGTCCGACTTCAGCCAGGTCACCATCTCGCGGTCCGTGAGTTCGAGCCCCGCGTCGGGCTCTGGGCTGATGGCTCGGAGCCTGGAGCCTGTTTCCGATTCTGTGTCTCCCTCTCTCTCTGCCCCTCCCCCGTTCATGCTCTGTCTCTCTCTGTCCCAAAAATAAATAAAAAACGTTGAAAAAAAATTTAAAAAAAAAAAAATAAAGGAGAAAAATGTAAAACACAAGTATCGTGTGTATAGGAGAGTCATAAGAAAAATACTCTGCTGCTTTTACAGATGCCTAAAAAAAATAATCCCCTTGGGAATGCAAGCTGGTGCAGCCACTCTGGAAAACAGTATGGAGGTTCCTCAAAAAACTAAAAATAGAACTACCCTACGACCCAGCAATTGCACTACTAGGCATTTACCCACGGGATACAGGTGTGCTGTTTCAAAGGGACACATGCACCCCCATGTTTATAGCAGCACTAGCAACAATAGCCAAAGTATGGAAAGAGCCCAAATGTCCATCGATGGATGAATGGATAAAGAAGATGTGGTATATATATACAATGGAGGATTACTCGGCAATCAAAACAGAATGAAATCTTGCCATTTGCAACTACGTGGATGGAACTGGAGGAGTATTATGCTAAGTGGAATTAGTCAGAGAAAGACAAAAGTCATATGACTTCACTCATATGAGGACTTTAAGAGACAAAACAGATGAACATAAGGGAAGGGAAACAAAAATAATGTAAAAACAGGGAGGGGGACAAGACAGAAGACACTCATAAATATGGAGAACAAACTGAGGGTTACAGGAGGGCTTGTGGGAGGGGGGATGGGCTAAATGGGTAAGGGGCACTAAGGACTCTACTCCCGAAATCATTGTTGCACTATATGCTAACTAATTTGGATGTAAATTTAAAAAAATAAAAAAATTTAAAAAAAAAAGAAAAGAAAATAATCCCCTGTCTGAAGATGCAGGCATCTGGACTTGGGCACAGGCAAAGGACTCAACTCCCTGGCCGCTCCCAAGAATCTAGCTCCTCTTCTGATTGCCTGATACATCTTACTTTGCCAAAGACACATTTGTTCTGGAGAAGCATGTCTCAAATACTAATATTCTAAGAAGATACATTCTCCAAATGTCTGATTCAAATCTTTTAAAGTATAATAAACTCTGTAATAAATAAAACAGTTATGAGCTAACGTCAAGTCATAAAGACACGGCTGAGGTGCGCTGGCAGCTTCACAAGGCTTTGCGTGGCCCACAGCCTGAGAGCTTGAGGGGAAGCCATTAAAAAAAAAAACTGTGCCATTTGCAAACACTTATCTCTGCAAATCGAGGTTTTGCCAATATTAGAAGATTAAAGCACAACTGAATGTCGAGGCTTACAAAGACTGTTGGCTATTCACACATTACCCCTGACTTCAAATGCCCGTATTAAACTAAACAACATCATGATCCTCTTAGACTGAATTAAGAAGAGTTGTAATATGATCTTATAAACAGGGCTGAGAACAGGGTTTTTCAAACCTTGGCACTTCTGACATTTGGGTCAGATTACCTTTTTGTGTTCTTCTGCTGTCCCGTGCATTGCTTTCTTGCATTCCGGGCTTCTGCCCACTGGATGCCAGTAGCATCCCTGCAGCTGTGACAATCACAAATGTCTCCAGACGTCCTCGAATGTCCCCTTGGCAGGAAAACTCTCCCTGGTTGAGCACCACTGCTTACTGATCAAACACCGCATTCATCTATTCTATGTTGGGGGTCTTACCTAATAATTCAGCTGACTAAAAGAAGTTCTGCTTAAATTGGTTGAAAGTACAAGGGCTTTCACTTCCAGATTCTGGATTCGAATCCTGATGCTGCCCCACCGGCTGTCCATCACCTAACCCTTCCAATCGGCTGCTACCTCCTCTGGACAATGGGAACAAGACTATGCGTACTGGACTGAGACAATGGAGGCAGGACAGCACTTAGAAGCTCTGCAGTAAATGAAACCTTCTGCCGGTGTGGTCGCGGTTAAGGGTCCAGTGTCCAGTGGGTCTTACCTGATCTCTGGAGATTCTTTCGGTAGCCACTGAGGTTCAGCTGGGTGACGGTCTCTGACACATGCGCGACAGCCACTTGCACGTGCTTCTCAGTGAAGTCGTAACACCAGGAGAGGTTCAGCTCATCCAATCTGCACACCAGAGGGGAAATAAGGAAAGCGTGAAAGCACAACACAGGAATGAGTTCTGTAAGTAGCACTGTCTCAAGCTGCAAAGAGAACACAAAGCCATGGATAGAGTCCTTGCCATTTCACGCACAGAACCTCTGCTTCTCTAAGCAGCTACCTCCCTCTGCTCACCTGAAACTGCCTTCTCCCCTCCTGACACACTCCCCTGCCCTGGTTTGCCTCAGAAAGTTGCCTTAGTGAGTGATGCCCCCTTCTGGAAATGGAGGGAACACTCTCCTCTAGATGGCTCAAACCTCATTACAGGACTAGATGGAGAAACTCTAGGCTATTTTCTTTTTCAACCAACCAGGTTGTTAGCAAACAACCAGAGACTGAACAATCACTCGAGACACTTTAAAAAAATATGTATCAGTGGATTATACCAGGGATTCCCAATAAAGAAATGTTGACATTGCAAAAAGCCACTTCATCTTACCTGGCCTCTGCTAACTGAGCAAATGAAGGACTCAAAGACAATATCCAACCATTAAACCACAAACCCCATTCCTGACACTGCTGAATAAATGTAGGGTTACACATTTTACTTCACTGATAACATTTTTATCCAAAGGTAATCTACTTTCAACAGATTAAAGAGATATACGGGGGTGCCTGGGTGGTCGGTTCATTAGTTAAGTGTCCGACTTCTGCTCAGGTCCTGATCTCAGTTGGTGAGTTCGAGCCCCATGTCAGGCTCTGTGCTGACAGCTCAAAGCCTAGAGCCTGCTTCAGATTCTGTGTCTCCCTCTCTTTGCCCCTCCCCTGCTTGTGCTCTCTCTCTCTCAAAATAATAAATAAACATTAAAAAAATTAAAGAGACACACAATGCTACAGTAGAAAGATTAAGAATTATTAAAAAGGACACACAAATGCACACACACAACACAGTATTGTGTATTCTGAGCCATGTCCCCCTCCCATTTAGTAGTATCTGTAACTGTAGCCTTTATTTATATACTAACATTATTATATGACACAAAAGATATTTTTCATGGAGCCACCCAAATTTATGATATTTGCGTTAAGTTAGGTCTATAGATATTATAGGGAAAAGGCCTGACTGAATAGTCAGGTATAAACAGATTAATTTCAACCATACTGTTGATAAACACAGTACTAAATTTCCCTTATTTTAATAGTAAAAAAAGAAGGGGGATCACTACACAAGTATCCCCAGCAAACCCAAGTGATCTGCCTCCTCAGCTTGAACAGAAAGTTCAGAGGGTAAAGGATGGATGCTGTGTTACCATCAGGAGCACGGAGTCAGGAAGAGCTCAAGAAATATATTCGATTCTACTCTCATGGGAGGGATAGTTGTATATTTGCCAAAACAGTTCTATAATCAAATCTCACATCATTCTTACCTGGAACAGCTGCTCAGCAAAGTCTTCAGGGCAGATTCGGAGAATCCAGAGCACCCAGAAAGATTTAGTCGCAATAAATTTGAGTTCTGTGCTAGGTTACTGGAAAAGGAGGAAAATGTCAGAATACCAATACGCACTATTACTCAATTAGTAAGCATTCTGAGGAAAACAGGCTAGAGAAGTTAAGTACTCAAACACACAGGGCTTTGAGCCAGAAGTGAGTTTCAACTCCTGTCTCACTCTGTATGACACCAAGCAGGATGCTTTGCCTCAGTTAATTCATCTGTGAAATGGCAGTATCAGTACCTTCTTGGTAGGGTTGTTAAGATTAAATTATATAATGTGATAAAGGGCTCAGTACATGCCTGGCACAAAGGAAGCACACAAGAAATACTAATCAATGTAGTTTTAGTTATTTTTTATTATTTTTTTAAGTAGGTTGCACGCCCAGCGTGGAGCCCAATGCGGGGCTTGAACTCATGACCATGAAATCAAAACCTGTGCTGAGATCAAGAGTGGAACACTTAACTGGCTGAGCCACCCAGGAGCCCCAATGTAGTTTTTAAATTAAAAAAAGAAAAGAATGATGGAATAAACATTATTTCTTTTTCGTCCATAATTAGCATTAACTTGTAGGCACACTTTTACTTGTCAAGTCTCCAGGTTCTTTCAATTAAACTTCTCTCAAATTTGCCCTCTCTTCTGCATTCTCAAATGCCTTGTGTTAGTGGATTCAGTGATTAAGAGCTAGAGTTCTGGAATCACACTCTATAACCAAGTTCAAATCTTGGTTCTGCCACTTAACTACCTGTGAGACCTTGGACAAGTTATTCAACCTCTCTGTGCCTCAGTTTTCATATCTGAACAACAAGAGCTTACATCATAGGTTGCTGTGAGAATTTATGAGATGACCTTTGAAAGTGCCCAATAAATGTTGGTAGTTAATTTTATGTATTTTTTACATCAGGTTTCATCATTTCTTACCTGAGTGAACACAAAACCGTCTTAAGTAGTCTAGTTTTTTCCTTGTCTGATTAACCTGCCAAGGTGCCTAACAAGTTATTTTCCTAAATTTGAACTCTGACACGTTCCTTCCATTCTCAGATCCAGTCTCTTTACGACACTTCCCTCTTCAGTGCCTATCATGGAGTCCAGACTTCTTATAGCATGGCAGGGGCCCATTATGATCAGGTCCTCACCTCCTGTCACCTCCTCACTGTGCCCTATGCTCCAGCAGTTCCCAACTACTTCAGAGTTTAGAACTGCACAGGCGGCTTTACCTAGACTGCTTCTTTACCTTGTCACATGGGGATCTCCAACCTGAATATCTGCAATACTCAGCTTAAGAGTCACTTCCTCTGAGAAGGCTGCCCTCCCTAAATTTAACTAGGTCTCTCTGTGGGATGCATGCATCTAACAAACACACTGCACTGTAATTATCTGTCTCTCCCATGAATGGGGCAGGGAGTGGGCCTCTATTCATCCTTGCTTGTCTAGAACCTAGCATAAGTCCTGGCATATAGTTAGCATGCCAACTTGCATTGCCTGGATGAGTCCCGCACAGTACTGCAGAAGCACAGATACTTTCTGAGTCCATCTGGAGATGGACAGAAGGGCACCCCACATATATTCCGGAAACAAAATTAACATACAGAAAACAACTGCCTGTGGGACATGTTTCTGACGGCCACTCACTTGACAATGGGATCTGACAGCTGGAGGCCTTCCAGGCTTAGATTCTGCAGCTTGGAGCACCGGGACAGAATGCCGTGGAGGGTAGACACATCGATTACAGAGTTGGACAGATCCATGTGTTGCACACGGAAAGAGCTGAACACAGACAGGAGAAAAGAGAGGCTATGTAAGGTGGCCCACACAAGTACCTCCAGATCAAATCCAACCTCATCCCCTCCCCAAATGAGCAGCCAATCACAAACAGGATCCTTACTACACATTTCAAGTACAGTTTTGGTCTTAAAATAATTCCTACTAGTAACTCCTTTCCCTCACTCATTTTAAAATTCAGGAGGATTTCTGCCAGGTCAAAACGGTGCTGCCCATTTTGCTTAGGAAATTAGTCAGTGGGCATCATGAGAACGAGCTGGAGGTGGCTGACAAGAAGATTCTGCATATGATGCCTCGAGGCAGAGGTGAGTGAGTGAATTACTGAAACAGAAAAGACAGCAGAAGAGCAAGCTGTAAAGGGCTAATATTGAGAGGCCTGGAGGAAACACAGGTGTGGAAGTTTCTAGGTAATTGGACCTAGTTGTTGGAAAGAGAGGGATGAACTAGAGAAGAGGATTGGAAGGTTCTGGCACAACTGTGGGTGTATGACAGCGTGTCCAGACAGTGTGTGGATTGAGGAAGGCAGCCAGGGACAGACCCCAGAGTAGCAGAGAAAGAGGCACATGTGAAGAAGACCCAGAAGGAATAGCCATGGGAGAAGGATAAACACCAGTGGAAGAGGGGTGCAGTCATATGACCATGGAGGGAAGGGGAAAGAACTAGAGTTGGGATCCCTGTTTTGTCCTTAACTCTGCCATTTTTAGCTTATCTTTCTGTTCGGTATCTAGTCATTCCACTCAAGTTTGGGATGGCATTAAACCATACTGCAAAACTACGAGGAAAAGAGAAGTAGTTTTTCAAAAACATTCCACAAGGCAAACAAAAAGAGGGCATTTCTTTCAGGTTGCAAATCTGTCCACCATTGGATCAGAAACCCAGAGCTACAAAATCCGGGAAGACTCCTCACACACTGTCTTTATCAGAACTGGCCAGTGCGGCAAGAGCTAGGCTGGTTGAGTACTGTGCATGGCCCCTGCCTCAAGCGACTCACGAGGAGCATCTGCTGAGGACCCCCCTCCCCCCTGAGAAGCAAAATGTGCATCTCTGACCCTCAGGAAGAGCCCAAAAGTAACCCTGACTTAAAGTGGGAATGGGATCACGGTAAGCAGTGCCATGATTCAGCATAAAGGCCATATAGCAAAGCATGCACTTAACATTCCACTGCATAGCTGACTTGTCACAGGCCAGAAGGCTGGACATAGAAAAAAGGTAAGTTTTCATCTGCTTCTACCTCAAGATTTAGAAATAGTCTTTTCTAGTTTTTTTTTTTGTTTTTTTTTTACCTGAAATGTTCAACTAATGGTTGATCCACAAATGATCGTGGGCAGCGGAAGGCAACCACCCCTCGAGACAGCAGCCGGCCGATCACATCCGGGTGCAGGTTTTTACCTGTGAGGTCCAAGGTCTGCCACAGGGACTCATCAAACCTGGAAAAGAGGAGGTCCTTAGTTAAGTCAGGGGCACTGGATACCAGAGGCTCTTACCACTGTTACAGAACAAGAGAGAGATGGCCAGGGGCGCCTGGGTGGCGCAGTCGGTTAAGCGTCCGACTTCAGCCAGGTCACGATCTCGCGGTCCGTGAGTTCGAGCCCCGCGTCGGGCTCTGGGCTGATGGCTCAGAGCCTGGAGCCTGTTTCCGATTCTGTGTCTCCCTCTCTCTCTGCCCCTCCCCCGTTCATGCTCTGTCTCTCTCTGTCCCAAAAATAAATAAACGTTGAAAAAAAAAATTAAAAAACAAAAAAAAGTTTAAAAAAAAAAAGAAAAATTTGTTAAAAAAAAAAAAAAAAAAAAAAAGAGAGAGATGGCCATAAATCACCTTGAAGCAAATTCCGAAGGAAGCTGTGTTTCTGAGTTGACAATACAATTAGCTATGATACTTTTGAGATACTATTGACCATTTCTTGCTCATCTCACAGATTAGCTTCCATCTTCATCTATATATGTATTTCAGTATACATTATTGAATAGGTAGGTAGGTTCAAAGTTACCTAAATGATCCCACCTGCTGTTTTTGATAAGCATAAATAAGTTACCACAATCACCCTAAGTAACACGTAAATATAACTAAAAGGAGGGAGGTCAGCCCTATAGCTGACCTTTGCACATGGGTTTGAACTATGCAGGTTCACTAACATGCTGATTTTTTATTTATTTATTTATTTATTTTTTTAAACGTTTATTTACTTTTGAGACAGAGAGAGACAGAGCATGAACGGGGGAGGGTCAGAGAGAGGGAGATACAGAATCTGAAACAGGGTCCAGGCTCTGAGCTGTCAGCACAGAGCCCGACACGGGGCTCGAACTCACGGACCGCGAGATCATGACCCGAGCCAAAGTCGGCTGCTCAACCGACTGAGCCACCCAGGCGCCCCACATGCAGATTTTTTTATAGCACAGTACTGTAAATGTATTTTTTTCTTATGATTTTCTTAACATTTTCTCTCTGGCTTACCTTATTGTAAGAATAAGAGTATACAACACATATAACATATAAAACCTGTGTTAACTGTTCATGTTATGGGTAAAGCTTCTGGTCAATAGTAGTCTATTCATAGTTAAGTTTTTGGGGAGTCAAAAGTTATATGTGGATTTTTGACTGGGCTGGGTGGGGTCAGTGCTCCAAACCCCCATGTTGTTGAAGGGCCAACTGTACTTTATTAAGAAATAGTACTATCAAATATCTACTAGGAAAAAGGAACCCTAAAAAGGAGTTGGGCTGTTTTACAATACCCTTTAAGCTTAAAAACAAAAACAAAAAACGTATATACATGCATGGAAATATATGTATTTGTATGAACTAATGTGAAAGGAAAAAGGAAAAATATTACTTAGATTTTGGATAGTGTTTCTAAAGCAAAACTGAGGTACTAAAATGTACTGAACAGTAAACCAGGGGGCTGTAATAGCCACAGTTTAATTCAACTTAACAAAAAAAAGAAAACATGAGATCAAGCACATGAGGGAACATTTTCAATGCCTACTAGAATTTTATTCTTTAATATTGCTTGAAATAAGCAGACCACCGGCAGGGCTTTGAAATATCGCTGCATAAAGAAACTGTCAACGTGTTATTTGACTTCTATTAACAAGAAGGCACGACTACAGTACCTGGCACATAACAAGTGCTTAATAAATGCTGGTTATTGCTTTTATGACAACTGATACGAAGATTAACAGACTCTGCATGAAGAGGAGAGCTGGCTGAAAGAAAATCGATATGGGGTCACTTAGGGAGGGATCAGGGAAACTCCGCCACCACTGGCTCCAGCATTCCAGGGGTGCACACCTCCCCGTGGCTCTTCTAAGCAAACAGCCCACTCTGTAAATACCCGGGGCGTCTTACTGCCCACACACCCCTGAATGGACGGGAAGGGGCCCTTGCTGGCTCACAATAAGAACTCCAGAGATGTGCAGGGAGAAGAGAGATAGATGGCCTTTAAGCGCAAAGGATGGCTAGGAGCTGGCTGGGGAGGACAGGCGGTGAAGAACGGACAAAAGTTCTAACTGCAAACAAAGCCTTCCCCCACTTCTGGCCTGTTACTGCCTTCCAACTCACCAAGACGTTCCCTGTGCAGCTCACCGTTCACACTTGAAAAGTGGCAATCCCGAACCAACAGAGACACCCGTGACTATTGGTTTCCATGTGCGACACGCTTCCACCAGCCAGGCACTGCACCGCCATCTTTATGCTTCATCCTCATAACTGTCTGGAAGGTACTACGATCTCTATTTTATATATGGGGGACCGAGGCTCAGAAGTGTCAAGAACGTCACTAAGGTCCCAGAGTGCTAGGTGGCAGAGACTAGGTTTGCATTTGGATCTAATACCAGGACCTGTGTTCTCCCCTCTGCGCTCACTGCCTGGCCCACGGGTGTGAGAAACCGTTGGCATCCCCCTTCACTCCTAGGACATCACCTGGTCGAGAGTCGGCATCCCACCAGCAATAATATAGGAAAAAGTTCTCCGAGGTGGGTATGTTTACACCTCCAGGAGACTCTTCCCTTCCGCTGTGAAATGAAGTCACTAATATTAAATACATGAAGATACCTAGTTTGCTTTGTGGTACTGTATTTTTCTTGTTTTTTTAGTTTCACTAGATCCAAATGAATAAATAAATAACCCTTCTCTTCTCCTTCCACACATAAACCAAAAGGGGTAAAAAATACTTACGCTAGGTGATACCACCTCTTACAAACACTGGAGACCTTCAAGAGTTCAGGGAGGCACAGACAGGAAAAGATTCCTAAGAGCAGCTCGTCCGGAAGGGAGTCCCATGAAACACCTTTGAGGGAGAAAAACAACGTGTCTTCTAATCACCACTCATTCACCCAATCAAGTCTACTGAGTCTTTTCATGCACTTAAAGGATACACAACATTTAACTTACAGGGGGAATTTAACACTAATCGAATTACTCATCCCACAATTGTTTTTCTGTTCACCCACTGTCTCCGTACCCTGCGGTGAGGCACCACACCTTCTCAGCAAAGGAGAAAAGAGAAAACCAAGAATACTTTTCGTATCATTTTTCCCTTCAGCATCTGCTGGCCAACCTTAGTAAGGGCTATATTAAAGGCGGTACAGAGCAAGTCCCCCCCTCCATGGCATACAATAATGTCTAAGACATTGATGCCCTCCATGGCTAAGAAATGCCTGGTTTCTCTCAGAAGTGGATTCGGTGGTGGATTCAGCCATCAAGTATTGACCTTATCTACAAGGCAAATGAAGTTTTTTCCTCTTTCTTTCAGATCAGATTTACAGAAAGCACTCAGAAGTCCATTTGCCTACAAGTGCACTATCAGAAGGGTGCTTTCATCTATCTCTCTATTTACTATGGTGCCAGGGAGCATTCTAGGTGTTGGGGAGAGAGCAATAAATCAGATAGACAAAGCATTTTAGCTTCACGGGACTTACATTCTAGTGGGAGGAAACAATCACACATATAAAAATACATTACAAGATCTGGAAAAATTGATTAGTGCTATGCAGAAAAGTTAAGCAGAGTAAAAGAGAGGACAGGAAGTACAGGGGCCAGTGTTCAGAATCTCAACAAAGCGGTCAAGGAAGGCCTCACTGAGACAGCGATTACTGAGCAAAGGCTTGAACAAAATTAGGGAGCCATGTTTTCTAGGTATAGGGAACAGAATGTTTGTTTTGAGGAACAGAAGAATGAGCAGGGAGGTGACAGAAGATGAGAGATGTCGGGGCCAGGTCATGCAGGACTCTACATCATGAGGCCTTCAGCTCTGACTCTGAATGTTGTGAGGAACCACCAGAGAGTGCTGAGCACAGAAAATTCTGAAAGGATTGCTTGGGCTGTGTTAAAAAACAAACAAACAAACAAAAAACTGGAGGGGCGCCTGGGTGGCTCAGTCAGTAGAAGGGTCCTACTTTGGCTCAGGTCACGATCTCATGGTTTGCGAGTCTGAGCCCTGTGTCAGGCTCTGTGCTTACAGCTCAGAGCCTGGAGCCTGCTTCAGATTCTGTGTCTCCTTCTCTGCCCTCCCCTGCACACACTCTCTCTCCAACAGAAACATTAAAAACAAAACAAAACAAAACTGGAGGGGGGAAAAAGGTGGATATTTTAAGATGAGTTTTGTCTTATAAAAGCAGTGTCTCAATAGAACTCTTACATAGGAACATACAGAACATAACCCACAAGATCAGGATAATAGGACAATGGCCAAGAAGGAAACAGGTATGCATGGAAGAAATACTGAGTGTTTAGATCAGTTCAGTAACTCACCTTCCTAGTCAGTCTCCCTGTACCTCCACTCGCTCTTGTACACCAAGTCTAGCGCTATCCTCTCCCTTCTGTGATGGTTCACAGGACTGATGTCAGCTTGACTGGGTCAGGGGGAGGCTAAATATTTGGTTCAACACTATTATGGGTGTGTCTGTGAGGGGTTCCTGGAGGAGATGAACGTTGGGAGTCTGTTGACTGAGAAACAGATTCCCTTCTCCAACGTGAGTGAATCTCATTCAATCCAAGTCCTGATGAGAATTGGTTTTCTCCCTGCCTTTGAGCTGGGACATGGATCTCCTGACTTCAGATGTGAACTGGAACCATCTGCTCTCCTGGTCCCTGGGCCTTTGCACTGTGGACCTGGGTACTTCCCAGCTTTCGTAATAGTGTGAGCCAAGTCCTTATAATAAATCTCCCTACATCTCTTATTTTTTCCACATCTCTGGAGAACCCTGATTACTAACACACTGTCCCTCCTCCCCGTTATCTAAAAAGGTGGATTTCCTGCACAGGTACACTGAACCAGGCTCTGTGGAGAACATGATGGAGAAAAGTACTGAGGGTGATAAACGTGGCACTTGCTGTCTCTGGGTGGTATTCTTGGGCAATCTTTCCGAGTTTGAACATCTCCATGGTCCCCCCCAAATATGTAGCCTAAGGTCCAAACTGCTTAGCATGAAATTTATGTCACGGACCCACTCATTTTTCTAGGTTCATTACCTAGAAATATGTTCTAGCCATTTGGACTTACTTGTAATTTGTAGAATGAGTCATTCTGCGCCACATCTCAGAGGCCCTGTACGTGCTGTGCCTGCCCCGATTGCTATTAATTTAAAATCAAGTTGCTATTAGAGCCCCAGTGCTTATGGAAGGCTTCCCATGACATCACCAAAAATGGGTCACTTTTTTTTAACCACAATTTTATTATTTACTTACTCATTTGTTTAGCCCTTGCCCCTGCTGGACCATGAGTTCTTGGGAACAAAAAAGTATTTTTCAAAAAAATAATCTTTGTATTTCCTGAAACTCGCATGGTGTCTGATACATTCGTATGATATATACATGCATATACTTACTTAACACGTCCTATCTGTGGGTGTCTGTTCTACAAATATGGAAAGGGATGGCCAGCTCAGGGTTTGAGACACAAATGGGAAATTTCAATGAAGTATCATAATGGGCTGCAATAGGGATCACAGTGCTGTGCTGTGCAGTGGATGGTGGTAGAGGAGAGATCAGAGAAGCCTTCCTGGAGGAAGTGGGCTCTACTGAAAAATGAGGAAATATGCAGTTGCTCAATGAATGCCTGCCCCTCCCTCCCTGAGGACAAAATGATTCACTGAGGCCCTGAAACCAGGAGTAAAGGGATGAGGGCAGACCATCCATGCTGACCCTGGACCACAATGCAGGGAGGCAGCTGGAGATCACCCTGAGGCTTCTCAGTGTGGCAACAACCCCCCTTCACCACAAGGCTCCTCCAAGCTCAGCATGGACAGAGGACAGGGGTTCTCAAATACGGCTCCTGCTCTGCTTCCCAAATTCGAAAAAGTTGATACATTAGCTTTTCTTAAGTTCTCCTTCCATTAACTCTTCTGAACTCCCTGACCTCTGGTGCCTCTTGAATACGTAGATCAGATTCTAGCATTGGATTTGGCAAAAAAGTCACACGCTTCGTTATTTCAAATCCAGGATGTTGAGACCACACTAGGACTTGCACTACGATCTGTCCACTCCTCGTGACACCAGGTGCCTGGCCTCCCCGAGGGTGAGAACCACTGGAAGGGAAGCACGCTGATGGGAATGCATCTCTGTGGCCCAAGTCTGTGAATACTGGGCAGGTTACCTAATCCCTCGGGCTCGGTTTCTGCATCTGCAGGAACAGGAATAAAATGATTTATTTTGCAAAGTAGTTCCCTGTGGAGATTAAATAATATAAGGGAAGACATCAAGCAGCAGAGTCAAACTTTCCTTTCTCCTTCTTGCCTCTATCTCTCTCCTCTCTCCATTAAAGCTGCACATTTGCCTTTTGTGATGACTGTTCGCTGCTGCTTGGAATTTCACTTATTTGAAAACACACCGGGTTTTAATAGGGTTTGGATGAGGGCTGCAGCATGTGATTGACCAAGAGGCCCAAACAGCCCTCTATCTAAGTTTGGGACCCCCAGAAGCAGATCCTGAGGACCTGAAGTCAAGTAGTTTATTTTGCTAAGTAATCCCAGGAAGCATTGGAAAGTGAAGAGATATGGAAAGGAAAGAAGCTAATTCGGGGAAATGTTAATAAGCAGGTTATTGCCATTGCCAAGTGGAGTTCAAGTCTGCCGGGGACTCCAGGAGACCCCATAGCACCCTGCCCCAGAGCTGTCTGTCTCAGCCAAGAGCATGGGTGCTGGGGTATTAATCCACCAACAACTCTCAGTCACTGGGTGTGGGCTTCTGGGAGTGGGGCAGAAATGTTAATTCCCACATGCCTGCCCAGAGAAAGGCATCAAGCAGTCATATCTGTATGCAGGAGAAAACCTGGCACATAAAGGAGTGCTGAGCTTCGAGGGGCTATGGATGGGGCACCATGCGTCCTATAAAGACAGTGGAAAAGGAAATTAGGGAGGCTTGTTGTGAAGTGCAGGGCAGGAGAAATAAATTAATGAATTTGGTGCCTATTTTATTGGGAACATACAAGAAATCAGAAACAATTAGAACAACATGAGCTAGGTAATTAAAATGCGAGGAGGAGGGCCACCTGGGTGGCTCAGTTGGTTGAGCATCCAACTTTTGATTTCGTCTCAAGTCATGATCCCAGGGTTGTGGGATCTAGCCCCGCATTGGGCTCCATGAAGCCTGCTTGGGATTCTCTCTTTCTCTCTCTCTCTCTCCCCTCCCTCCCTCTGCTCCTCTCCCCCACTCATGATCTCTCTCTCTCAAATAAAAATTTTTTTTTAAATGCGAGGAGGAAAACTAGTCACTATTGGCAGCAAGGAACACAGAGGTTTGCAGAGGACAGCAAAGCTAAGCAGTGAAGCACACTAGTAAGGTTAACACTAGAATCTGGATGTCTTCGTCCGTCCAACTCCTACTCATCCTGCAGATCTCGGCTTAAACTTGTTACCCCCTCAGAGGAGCGTTCCCAAATCACCACCACAGCCCCCAGACCCAGGTTTGCACACCCAGCACACGGCACAATACTAAGCCCATAACTGGCATCCAATAAAGCTTTGCTAGATGCATCATACCTTTTACTCTCCCTTTATGCAAACTGAATATGCCAACTCTGCGTTTGCATTTGCGTTGACTAGTTACCCTTTGCTAATCAAGAAACTAGCACACACCCAATGCCTAGGAGAGAGCCTGGCAATGAATATTAGAAAGTATTCAAATGCTGTTTCACGAAGGAATGACTGACAGCCCAAAGAAGAATGCTGGCTTTATTCTACACACAGGCAAGACTGCTGGCTTCTTAGGACCAGTGAGTTTCCTTATTTGTAAAATGATAAGGTTGGCCTATGGCTCCACTTCAGCAAACATTCCTGGGTGCCTAATTAA